GAGATAAAGTGCCGAAGATATTCTTCTAGCATAGAATTGAAGCGCTCCGTCAGTCAGTCAGATTGTGGGTGAAAACTAGAACTCATGCTCAAAGTTGAACCAAGAAGTTTGAACAACTCAGTCCAAAATATGCCAGTGAAACGAGGATCTCGATCACCGACGATGTCCTTAGGCAGCCCTCAGTATTTGACAATATGTTTGAAGAAGAGTTGAGTTGTCTCTTCCGCAGATACATACTTAGGCGCTGCAATGAAAGTTGCATATTTTGATAGACGGTCCACCACGACAATGATAGTACCAAAATCCTCAACTTTTGGCAACCCAATAATGTAGTCCATCGATGCACTTTCGAATGGCCCGGTTGGAATGGAAAGGGGCTCCAGCAAGCCCCTTTTTTTCTTATGATCTGCCTTATCTTGCTGACAAATAAGACAAGTTTTTACATATGTTGCAATGTCGTCCTGCATTTGAGGCCAGTAGTATGCACGTTGTAGTAGTGCACAAGTGCGTTCCTCTCTGAGATGCCCCGTCCAAATTGTGTCATGGCATTCCGTAATTAGTGATTTCCTCAGATCTCCGCCCTTAGGAATATATAGGCAGTCTCCCTTTGTCTTCACTAGTTTTCCATCTAGCCAGAACTGTCGAGTTTTACCCTGCTTGATAAGGTCGACCAAATATTGGGTAGTCGGGTCCTTCTCCACAAGTGCCCGAATTTGGTCTCCAGTGTTCGTGGAGACTGCGCTCCCTGAAAGAGCAGCTACAGAGTAGATGGTAGCTAAATCGGCCGGTCGACTAAGAGCATCAGCAACATGATTACTAGAGCCGGGATGATACTCTAACATAAAATTGAACTCTGAAAGGAATTCCTGCCAACGAGCCTGTTTGCTCGATAGTTTTGGTTGGGACATAAAGTGACTAACTGCAGTGTTATCTGTATTCACAATAAATGGAGACCCAAGTAGATAGTGACGCCATCCTCTGAGACAATGGACTACTGCTAACAGTTCCTTTTCATGTGCCGAGTAACGACGTTCTGTCTGGTTTAACTTCTGGCTCTCATATGCTACCGGATGTCCTTCTTGCATGAGGACTCCACCAAGGGCAAAATCTGAAGCATCTGTATGAACTTCAAATGGTTTAGCCATATCCGATAAGGCTAAAACCGGGTTCGTCCACATGGACTTCTTCAAACTTTCAAAAGCAGCTTGGCATTGGGATGACCAATCCCAATCCTTATCCTTATTCTTCTTTGTCAATTCAGTAAGTGGCAGTGAAATTTTTGAGTAGCCCTTCACAAATCTTCGATAGTAATTGCATAACCCAAGAAATGAACGTATATCATGTACGATTTTTGGTGGTTGCCAATCTTTGATGGCTGTAACCTTCTTCGAATCCATGCGAATTTTACCTTGTTCAATGATGTGACCCAAGAAACTGATAGATGTCTGAGCAAATGAGCATTTAGATGGCTTAGCATAAAGTTCATTCTCCCGTAGCCGATTAAAAACTTGCCTCACATGCTGGACATGTTCCTCCAATGTCTCGCTGTAGATTACTATGTCATCCCAGTACACCACGACAAAATCATCTAAGAACCCAGGAAATACCTGATTCATCATAGTACAAAATGTTGCTGGAGCATTTGTCAAACCAAAAGGCATCACCTTAAATTCAAAGGTTCCATATCTGGTTACCACCGTAGTCTTTGCTTCATCTCCCTCCTTAATACGAACTTGCCAGTATCTGGACCTAAGATCAATTTTTGTGTAATACTTCGCCCGACTCAGTCGATCGAAGCAATCTGCAACCAGTGGGATAGGATAGCTATTCTTTACAGTAATCTTGTTCAAAGCTCGATAGTCATAGCATATTCTAAGAGAACCATCAGTCTTTTTCTGAAACAATACAGGAGCTCCGTATGGCGACTTCGCAGGCACAATGATTTCACTCTCCAACATTTCCCACAACTGCTTCCTAAGATCTTCAAGCTCAGGCTGAGACATACGGTATGGTGCCCTGGCGGGAGCTTTAGCGCCTGGAATAAGTTCGATCTCATGATCAATCGTCCTTCTTGGTGGTAATTTCTTTGGTAATTCTTCCAGCATGATGTCCTCAAATTCCCGAATAAGCCTTTTAACGGGTTTTGGAATAGGACCATTCGTCTCTTCGACTTCCTCTAATTGAAGAGTGCACAAAAAAAAGGGTTCATTTCTCTTGAAACCTTTACTAAATTGCATGGCTAAGATACTCTTCTCGCCCATCCTCCTAACCTGTGTAGGGATGACACACGGCTTATTACCCATCATCATTAACGAATCGGAATATGGCAACACCGTTGTCTTAGTATCCCGAAGAAATTCCAATTCTAGAATAAGTTTGAAATCATCCATCTGAACTGCAGATAAATTTGTCCTTCCCTCGAAAGGACCTGCTTTGATCAACACCGATTTCGCCACTCCAGCTATTGGTTGAGCAGCGGAGTTGATTGCTTTGACTTTTCCACTACCCTTTTCTAGAACAAGTCCTAGTCGCTCTACTTCGGTACATGCAAGGTAGTTGTGGGTAGCACCAGTATCCACCATAGCCCTGATTGGCTTCCCATTGATTTTTATATCAATGAACATTAAGCCTTTGGCCCTACAAATACGAGCCTTCGCTTCTTCCATCTTTGCCTCTTTCAATGGGACATCATCCTTTTCAGCAACCCGATGCGATAGTGTATTGCACCGATGTGAAAATGCCCCAACTACTTTCTCATCCTCTTCAGAGTCAGTCTCACTATGACAATTAGCCTGCGGGGCCTCTTGTTTTGAACTTGGCCCGCTACTTGCTAACTGACAATATGCATTTATCATCCGCTTCTGAGGATACTCCGACAACCGATGAGGTCCTTCACATAAAAAACACTTCAATTTGGGAGTGGCATCAGTTCGGCCCTCCGTTGCTTTTCCTTTGTTCCAGTTGTTATTATTACTGCCGTTAAAATTTCCCTGACGGCTGTTATGATAGTTTCCCTGAAAGCCACGGGTGTTTTGATAGGCTCCTTCTCTGTTCTGAGAGTAACGCTCTCCCCCATTTGGGTTCGAACTGGGTCTGTAAGATCTGTTACCACCTCCAATTACTTGATTACTCCCTGAAGGTCGATCTTTTCTAGATTCTGTTTGGTAGTCGCTCAAGCATTCAGCGGCTCCCATGGCCGCGCTTAAATCAGTAACCTTCTGTCTTTGAAGTTCCGCGCGTGTCCACGGTTTCAACCCTTCCTTAAAGGTGAAGAGCTTATCCTTTTCTGACATATATCGAATATTCAGCATATGCCCTGAGAAGGATTTCACATACTCTCTGATAGAGCTTGTGTGCTTCAGGTCTCGAAGAGCCCGTCGAGCCTGATACTCGACATTTTTCGGGAAAAACTGCGATCTGATCGCTTCCTTAAGTAGATCCCAAGAATCAATTCGAATCCTGTGGGCCTGAATGTCCGCATATATGGTCCGCCACCATAGTTTTGCATCTCCACCCAGATACATGGTAGCTGTGGTTACCTTTCTAGCTTCATCTTCGATCGAAGCTGCTAGAAAGTACTATTCCATATCAAACAAGAAGTTTTCGACTTCTTTTGCATCACATGCCCCTCCATAGGTACACGGTTCATGAATTCTGAGTCTAGGAGCATACTCGGGTACGGGAGCTTGCCCGTTACCTACCGCACGTTGGAGTACTCGCAATTGAGCTCTCAAAGCTTCCATTTCATCCTGCAGATCAGGAATGATTGCAGCAGCTTCCGTCATTGCTGCACAAGCTCTTTGGCTTTCATCCAATTGGATGTGTAATCTACGAATCTCAGATTCGACCATCTCGACTTTTTCCTCGAGACCTTCCATAGCATAGCACAACCTAGTAGTTGTCTCATCAAGCGCATCCACGCGCTGTTTTGTAGTACCCTTCTTTTGAGGCTCTACCACTTCAGTGGTGTGTGATGTAATTGGATCCATATCTTTCTTATCGAGGGTCGTGAGCCACAGCTCTGATACCAACTTTCACGGGGTGCCTTTCTTCTTGGCACAGAAAGGGACATTGTGCGGCAGTAGTCTGCTCCGCTAGACTACCTTCCGCCTTTTCTCGATCACGTCGGGACGAAAGAAAATTTGATTACAATTTTATAGAAAGCATACAATAGAGAATTTGAATACATTGAAAGTAAATTGAACATTGATTGATGAAAACTGAACATTACAATTGATGAAAGCAGAAAATTACAATTGCTGGTGTAGGGGGCGGACACCAGTGAGTTTGAAAGATTTTTGAATGACTAATACCCCTATAATAGCATTCTGAACAAAAATCCAAGTGACGGGAGTAGACGTTTAAAAGACGAGAAATCATACTAAATGTTTACTAATATCAGAGCTATTTTACAACTGATATAACTATTACAATGAAACGAAAATTACAACTCAAATTTGAAGTAATATTTACAATGTGCGGTCGAAGTTGGGCAAACTGCGGCTGCGATAGTGTCAAGGGGCTAAGTAAAGCTGCGGTCCTTGACACCACGTGTTTTGCATCTAACAGTGCCTCTTCCAACCCTCTTCCTATAAATACCAAAGAACTTTTCTACAATAAGGTAAGGTTATTCCACTCAAAACAAGTATATATTTTCCTTCCCTTTAAATATATATAGAGATCCCGGCAAAATTGTCGCCACCAGAAGATACACCATCAATTGACTTGATCGTCTGAGTATATATGACCACTATCACCTTTGCTCGGAACGGTCATATATGTCTGACCATTTGTAATTGTGTGTAGGGAGGAACACGTGGAGTAACTCCGATTGACCATATGGAAGGACCAATTTGCGAGGTCGACCCTTCTCAATGTCAAATATATTTTGGAAAGCTCACTCTTTTTGGTTCATTACTATGTCCACTGAAGCTCCAACAATATAAGACCGTTGATGTTCATACCAAAATAAAATTGATAGCTAAGAAAATAAAGACAACTGAGAAAACTACAAACTGTGTTATATTATCAATTCTCAACACAAAAATTTACATCAAATCTGGAAGATCTAGTAAGCATTGGATCTATTGGTAGGAAAACTATAAAGATGACCCAACTCATTTCCAAAAAAAAAAAAAAAAAAAAAAAAAAAAAAAAAAAAAAAAAAAAAAAAAAAGACAAACTAGAAGAAATCATAATAAGGTTATTCTCTACATTTTTCTGTCAAATTTTCTTCGTCTTTTCTTATGGACACCTTGAGTTCCTTCCAGGACCTCCATAATAAAAATAATTTCCCCAAACATTATTTTTTCCTGCTTTTATATCGTAACAATCTGGATGATCAGCTAATAAATGAAGATTAGAAAGTGGGATCAAACTATTATCCCAATCAACAACTTGCAAATTTCTGAAATAAGATGCTTTGCCAAATCCTCCATCTGCAAAATGGCCACTGCCCATTTGTGTCGATGTGTGTGATCCCATGGATTTAGTGTTCACTATTTCTCCTCCAAATTGTATCATGCTTGCGTGGCTTTGTAAATGACTGAACAAGACTGAAGGCCAGTATCCCACAACAAGTCCTGAACCAAATTCAAGCCACCAGTGTCCATGCTTGGGGTCCTGTAAAGAACGCAGTTGATGAATGAGCCTAAGTTACGCAAAATGTTGGGCATGTTTTAAAATGTTAATTTCTATCTCGTACTAGAAATGGATAAGATAAGAAGTGAGATTATCGTCTATGATATATTAAGAGGAAGACGGATTTGGGTGGTCGAGAGGGCTTTTAATAAGTTCTAATATGTCTTGCTTTTTCGGCCCGAGGAACACTTTGTTGGAACTGGGTTGGAACGATAAGTAGGTATAGATTCAAGGGATCTTGCTATAGCCATATGTGAGGAAAAGATCGAACATACCAACACTTAATGGAGATATTCTAAACACTGACGTAAAGAGATCTCGTTAACAAGAGCAATATAATCTCAATAGAATAGGTTAGAAGAAGGAGGGTAAACCAAAACAAACATGGTATGTTGCAGTCGTTAAGGATCTAACTGTTTTGGATCTACTAGTACACGTAACAATGACCTGTGACGGGCAAGAAAGATTGATGTAACCAATCTTAAATTACTTGTAAATAAGGCTTAGTTCTCTAGCGTCACGGTGTGAGTATTCCTTTCATATTTTTATTTAAGATAGTGCCATAGCTCAAGAAAATTACACAAATCAATACGGAATCAAGAAATGGTAATGCAAAGTTGGAGCCAAAAGCTTATTAGGGTCAATTAGCAGCTAATATTTAATGAGGAAAGAGATAACTGAACACTTCACATGCCCTTAGGCAAAAAAGAGAATCTTACATTTTTTATATTAGTAATTGTGATCAATCTACTAAAATGTCACTTTCTATGCATCAATTTTGTCCTTGTTGATTAAAGTTTTAGTTTAACTAATGAAGAAATCTAAGCATGCTGAATCTGAAAGTTGACATTTGGAACGATGCAACCAGTAATTTGCCAGAAAAATCCAAATTTACCTAATTATATGTAGCTGAAAACCTGGTTTTTGCTTTTGTCAAATGTTGTTTGGATTGGTTAGCATAGAATAGTATACCTAACACCATCTAATGCGTACCTTCCAGATCATTATGCCGATATCAAATTGTGTGCCATTGTAAGACGATGTTGGAGAGATTGCTGCGCCAATAGCAATTTTGTTGTTGATTTGGATGAAGCCGGAGCATAATAAGTTGTAGCATCCTGTTGCTTGGTATGCATCCGTCTGTGTTCAACGATGGATCAGTATTTTGGTTTCTAACCTTGATATAGTATAAAAACCTTGCATATGTGCGTGAACACGAAAAGAATATCAGGACACTCACCGTCCAATAAGTGAAGAACCTAGGATAATTGTCTCCATATAACTCCGGGCTGACCTGTAGATAGAAATTAAAGTTTCGTATTAATATATATCAATGGTACAAAAAGAGGATTTTTTGACTTAAATACTTCATTTGAAAGGGAAAATTATCAGAGCAATTATGAATTATACTGTAAATACACGTACCTGCCAACCGGCTTCAATGGTATTAAGATCATTGCCAAATGTGCCAGAAATAACCCATAGCTGCGAGAGACTGAATTCATATTGGTCTGTTACTTGGGGCGTCCACACATTTATGCTGGCTTTTGCTCCATAATACTGATCTCCATTAACGAAAGCAACTGCATGCTGATCTCACAAAGATTATCATTGTAGAGAACACAGTTAGATATTCATTTATATCAACTATATAAGAACAATCTGCGACTTTAATTGCTTGAGAATTTCTTCTCATCGTTTCATATAATCGGTGTCTTGTAGAATGGTAGCTTATTCATGTTTCTACATTCTGTTTTTGCCTTGCACAGAAAAACAAAATAATCCTTATCCTTAGATAAATTTAGGTTCGGCTACACAAATATCATTCAGTTTGTTTTGTTGCCAAGAACATGGCAAATGAGACTAGCATTTTGGATTAATAGTTGCTTCTTTGATAACAAATATGGGGCGAAACAGGAAGCACATTGTGCTTCTGAAGACAATAAAGGAACCCTAAATCAGTAACACACGAAAAGATTGATCCTCAACTTTGGAACACTAAAAGCAAAGACTCAATCATTCCTCGTTCCCCTACGCCCTTCGCGGTCGATTAGTGGGTAGAGTGGTAAAATTAGAGGGCACTTGTCCATGTACGATTGGACAGATTCAAATCCTAATAGTCAATACACTTTGCCGATTAAAGAAAATGTAGTGCCTACATTCTCTTTGATCTTGATTTTCACATACTAACCTCATGATCACTGCTCATGGTGTCTCGCTGGACCCCTCTTCTGATTCTTCGTCGTCCGAATCCGCGAATTGAATTAACCCTTAGAACATCTTTCTCCGTTGTTCTCCTGATAGGAATAGTACCTTCAGGACATGTTTCGCCGGAATGTTCTGACCATAGCTGAAATCCCGTTGAATTCATTGAATTATGTCCCTTAGGTCTCTCTGGCGGCTCCTACATTTGTATGAACAGCTTCAACATTTGTATGAACAGCTTCATTTTCTTAATAAAAACCAAATAGTCCCAAAGAAATACAATACATTCCATTGGAAAGTAAGTCCAATTTTCGCATGTAATACTAAACAGGACTCAGAGCTAAAACTTTAAAAATTGTACTTTCGATTTCTGTCTAATTCGGCACACAAACTATACCAAGAGGGAAAGCTATATCTTACCAATGGCTTCTGGCCTTTGAGCAGAGGGTGATCAAAAGCTGGTTGAAGATGGGATAGAACACAATCAATTAAATCACCATCTGGGCTCTGGAAAAAAAAAATGAGGAAAAAGAAAGAAAAACCCATCAAATCTTGTACTCATGTATACATTAAAAACCAAAAAAGCAGATAAAACGTACCTGAATTGTCTTGACTGCAGGTTTGTTGACCTTCTTGAGATATATTTTTATTCTATTCAATTTTTGCAGCTCATGGCGCGGCCGGAGAGTCTGATTGCTGCTACTAGAATCCGACAAGAGAGGATTCGACAAGACAGTAGTACGTACGAAAGCAACAAAAATGAAAAGGATTGGGATTGTTCTGTAAGATTTGAAAGAAGAAGAAGAAGCCATTTTTGTTGTTTTTTCTTGATTCAACATGGTTGTATTTGTATGTACTCGTGTTGTCTTCTTGTAACACAATCCCATGTTTCATTCGAAAATTTTGTCCATAGAAACACAAAATCCATACAAAATAACACAACCATCAAAGGAAAAGTTAAAGGAGTTCAAGTGTTTCACCATTATCAAAACTTATTTATTGACCCCATTTGACATATAAAAACAGCTCTATTTTTCTCTCTACATTACAGATTCCGGGCTATTAATTTGAGTTCTGACGTACAGAAACTTGAGCTGTAGTTAATAAAACAGGGTCTTAAAAAAGAAGTGGTGTGGTCCGAAGGCTTTTACTGTTCGAAGGTAGCATTCAAATAGGCAGAAGGGTACTTTAATTTGCACGAAATCCATTTACAGCATGTCCGGACAGCAAAAAAGAAAAAGAAGTTAAAATTTTATTTATTATGATATTTAGTAATATATAAGAATCATAAACTTATGTTTCATCTTTAATTTGTCGTTATATTAACTAGATTTTTCTTATCAATCTCAACATGTGCAAAATTCTAAATTTAGGCGACCATGCGTTTTCGATGTAGAATTTTTGTATTACTTCATATTGAATCACCTTTGTCTTAAAACTTAATTTTTTTCCTTCTTTGTTAATAAAATCCACCAAATGCTAAGAAGTTGTTTTGGGCCTCTACTTAGGAATCGATGAGAGGTTTGACATTATCCCATACTGATTTATTAATAATCAGTTGAAGAACATTAAAAGGACGTTAGGTCTTATCTCCAGAATTACATTATGAGAAAAAAGAGAGTGAGAGCGAAAATAAATTTAAAGGTATTGCCTCCATTACCACTGCCTGACCAATGCACAAACAAATTAAACTTCTAAAAGCCAAAAAAAAAAAAAAAAAAAAAAAAAGAA